ATGTAGTTTTCATGTCCCCTTAGCAGAGAAACGGCCACAAAGCATAAAGTTTCCACCATCATGCTTAATGGCTGGGATGGAGTTCTTGTGGTCCAAGTCAGCTTTTCTTTTCCTCCAAATACGGCGTGTCGAGTTGATGCCCAAAAGCTCAATTTAATCTCTTCTAACCACAGCACTTTCTACCAACCCTCCTCCGAATCATCCATATTCTCATTTGCAAACTTCTCAGTGGCCTGTACATGTTCTTTCTTGAGTAGAGGGACCTTGCGGGCACTACATGATTTCAGTCCACAAGGACGTAGTGTGTTACTAATGGTCATCTTGGTGATTGTGGTCCTAGCTGCCTTGAGATCATCAACAAGCCGCTTAGTTCTGGGTTGTTTCTTCAACTTTCTCATCACCAGGTTCACTCCATTTTAAGCGATCTTGGGTGGAGCTCCAGACTGAAGGAGATGAATAGTCAACTGGTTTTTCTTACATTTTCTTATTATCGCACCAATAGTTGACTCCTTCTCACCTAGCTGCTTGTCAATCGTCTTGTAGCCCATTCCACTCATGTGCGGGTACACAATTTTGTCCCGGATGGTCTTAGACAATTCTTTTGTCAGGCCAATTATGGAGAGATTAGATTCTAATTCATTGAAGGATACAGTGAACTAGAGTCTTTTATACAGGTAATGAGAACTTGATTAGCAGTAATAATTGAGTAATAGGACGTCTATATTCCTCCAGGTCACATGACCGGTCTGTGGGGCCTGAATTAATTCTGGTTGGTAAGGGTTGAAATATTCATTTTTCAATAAAACAGAAATAAATGTTCAAAAAGTAATATAATGAGCTTTTCAAATTTTTTTTTTATAATCTGTCTCAGCAGTGGATGAAATACGTACTTTTCCCATTGTAGATGAATAGATAGATAGATAGATAGATAGGCAGGTATGAGTAGACTGCGATAGATAGATATGAACAGATTTTATATATATATATATATATATATATATATATATATATATATATATATATATATATATATATATATATATATATAATATTAGTGGTAAATATATACATACATATGCAATCATACATCTAAAATATATAAATATATATACATACATATATATACATATATATTTGTATAAAAAATAAATCCAATTTTGTTACTCTCTATCAGTTACGATTGAGTAGCGAGTTCGATACTCACTCGGTGACTGAAGCGTTTGGTCTAGGTCTAAGCTACGCTTAACAGATCATAGAGAGATCGCTATGAAGAAACTGAGTTTGGTTGATGTAAACAGAATTCGAGAGATTGATGTGTAGGAACGGACTGATATATGTTGATAGATATGAACGTACAGATATTAACTGCTATGAACACAATGATAATTATGAACAGATTAATTTAGCTTATAAATAAATTCGAGAAATCTTTTTTTTAAATATTCAGCTTTATTCAATTTCCCATATATTTAGATAGAGTAAATTGTTTTTCCTTTATTCTCTCAAATAATAAATATTACAGAATAATGAACGTGACCCATGTTATTACTTTTGATTGAATCCATTAAGATTGTATAGGGTGGTCGCTAGGCTTGTCAAGTCTCCTGTACTCGTTGACAATTCACTATAAGTACCAAATTGACAGAAGCCGAATAAAGAAAGAAAAAACATTGGGACATGCGCAAGATGAAAGTATATGACAATCTTCAAGAGATTAAAAAAATAAAATGCTATTTTAATCAATAATGTCTGCTTTGGATAGCGTCTCGGATTGAGAAATCGGAGAGCCGAGTTCGAATTCCAATTGAATTCATTATTTTCACGTAAGTGCTAATACCCCTAGGAAACGTATGGATCCACTTATCTCCCCAGATATGGGTAAATAGCACGACAGACCGAGTTCTATAGCCTTGGATGGCAACTGATCTACCGCAGAAAGAAATGACAACCTACTGCTGGAAAATATCTGTCTCGACAGTCATGTAACAAAAAGATACATGATCGCTGAAGCCTGTATCACGCATGGCATATAACTGACTGACATTGGCTAAGACCCGCCATGACTGTTATATTCTAGCCAACCAACCGCATTCCCTCCATATTCCATTGGCGGAGAAATTCTATTGGAACAGATTCCCCAAAAGATGTTTCCCCCAAAAGTCAACAGTTATCTTCCCCTCCTATTCATATAAACTACCCCATAAGGTAACCCTCTACCTGGAGTGGACCCCGGGCCTTGTATAAGGTGAACCTTACTGTTAAAAATGTCCCTGTGTAATATTTACTTATTTGGATGGCAACTGATCTACCTCGGAAAGAAATTCTGCCTCGTCTCTCATGAATCGAAAGATACATGATCGCCAAAGTGTGTATCAAAAAAGGCACATAACTGACTGTCTGTCTGCTTTGAATACTAGTAACACATAACGCAAAGAAGAGATATTGACTTACATGGTTTGTACATGTTTTATCAGCTCAAAATAGAAAAAAATCAACAACACACTTCTACCTGGTCTTGTTTAAACCGATTTCAGTTCAATTTCGACCCCAGAAAAATTCAAATAGTTTGCTTAATAATAATGTCCAACTACGACGTTTGTGGTGATGACATTTCGGACACGTTAAAAAGAATCCATGAATTGCTTTAGATGAAAAAAATAAAGATTATAAATATATGCTGATCTTGCTAAGATTTATGGTAAGAATGAATCTTTCACAAAACATTTATCAAGGTATATCGCTATAATTGTTTTGTAATATCAACGAATACTCGTTGCTACTTTTGTGATGCCAACGAATACTCGTTGTCACTTTCGTAATGCTCGTTGTAGTAGAGTTTGTAATCACAGATACAACTTATAGTAATGCTGGTGAACAATTCTGGTGTCAGACGCCTTCGAATAGCGTTCGTACAGGTAGCACTTGCTCGATAATCGAACATTACTCCGTATAGTGATCCGAGTAGAGGAATAGTGAACAGAGTAGTGAATAACGGTCCGGATAGAAATAGAGGATAGAGTAGAAGTGCAGACCCGTATAGTATAGAGGATAGACTAGAAAAGGCAATCAATTAGACACACGCTACCTCTCATAAATGCGTTTCCTGTGTGGTCAGGTGGTCCACTATTTCAATAATGGGATCATCTTTGTTTGTTCACTGGTGATCTATGTTCAAACTCAACTGTCGGCAGCGGCACTTTATTTCTATATAACAAATAGTTTTGTTTTATTGTTAGTTATACTAATCATTTTCTGTGTCTGATTCATCTATTAACATTTATTATTTGTATGATTCTATTGTGGAAATATTGTTTATTTAATCTATATTGTGTATTGAGTATATTTCTTCTGTACCTATAAACCGTCCTGTGTATGACAATAAACTACACCCGCGTCCTGGGTAAGACGATAATCTACGTCCGACAGCAAGGCCTCTGATCAGCAGGTTTTGAGGAGCGTGGATCCACCTCTAAATTGTTGGTGTTCTCAGGTCCACCCTTACCAGGAGAGGTAGTACCTGTTAGGGTCCTAACTATGGGCAAATAGTTGAACCCAACAACCTTGCGCAAAACACTATGAAAGTGTAAAAATCGATTTTAATACCAGAAATTGATATCAGCAATAAATAGTCAATATTGTGCACAAACTATATTTATAATATCTATCAGGTCATCCCATCAGTTCTGTCCGAATTTTGAATAAAGAAAACAAGTGACAAAATGTTACATTTAATTACAGATTCAATCAACAATATATTTTCCCTGATTATTTATGACTTCCTTCCATCTATTAACAAGCTTTCTAATTCCATTACTGTAAAATTATTTTGGCTTTGATTCGAAGAACTCACAATTGTCAGATTTAACTTCTTCCTGTGTTACAAAAGCTGTTTCTTCCAAATGATTCTGTAAGCTACGAAACAAATGGTAGTCTGAAGAAGCAAGATCGGGAGAATAAGGTGGATGAGGAATTTTCTCCCAACCAAGTTCTTCGAACTTTTGTGACGTGATTTTTGTTGTGTGGGGTCGCGCATTGTCCTGATGAAACATCACCTCTTTTCGAATCACTAGAGCAGGTCTTTTTTTGCCTCAAAGCTTGGTTAAAACGCTCTAATTGATGACAGTATATTTGAGTATTAATTGTTGCATTAGGTGGTAAGAATTCAAAGTGGATTATTCCTTGGCGATTCCACCAGATTGAAAGAAGAAACTTTTTCCCATGAAGTTCCCTTCTCGGCTGTGACTGGGGTCCTTCCCCTTTACCAAGCCACTGTCTACGACGCTTAACATTTCGATAAAAGATCAATTTTTCGTCGCCAGTCACAAGTCTGTCCAAAAAAGGTGAAACAATTTGGCGAGAATGGAGAGAAGAGCAGATGTCAACTCGGGATTTGAGGTTGTTTTCAGACAATTCATGAGACTCCCCTTTTCCAAGTTTAGGAACGTTTCCAAGTTGTTGAAGATGACGATGAACAGTTGTATGGTTTAAACTGAGAACCACTGCCATTTCCTCAACTGATAAAGCAAGATTTTCTTCAAGGGCTCCTTTAAGAAGCTTTTCATCAAACTCAATTGGACGTCCGGTTCGATCTTCATCTTCAAGGGTGAAATCTGCACCTCTGAATTTTGCAAACCATCTTCTGCAAGTTCTTTCATTCACACATTCCTCTTCATAAACTGAGTGAATGTTTCTAGCCGCTTCGCCTGCTGAGTTTCCTTTCTTGAACTCATAAAGCATTATGTGCCTCGAATGATTCTTGGGTACTTCCATGTTAACAGGGTTTTAATCTAACAAAATTTTATTTTATTGTTCTCTGAAATAAAATTTGATCAGTTTAAATGCATCTAAACATAAAAATAATGTTCAGCTCCATTAGACATTATAAAATACTCTATAAATTTCGTTCATTTTAACAAAAAGTTAAAATGCGGACAGAACTTATGGGATGACCTGATATATCTATAAAACATATCTATAACTATAAAACAGAAGAGGTTTGTATGTCTCTCTCTCTCTCTCTCTCTCTCTCTCTCTCTCTCTTTCTGTGTAAGGGTGTATGTGCTATTTATGAACGTCCACATTTGTCGACCGATTTCGATAGGATTGTACACACAGGTTGCAAATTTATCAGGATAGGTCGGGTTTGGTAGGAACACCGATAAAACTAAATGTGGGTACGACTTTTTGAAAAAAAAAAAAAAAAAAAACAAGGCAAAGTTACAAGCGAACAAAATTTTTACTGGATGAGCTGATGTTCTTTGCACTTAATGCAAAACATCAGCTCATGTTACGAGGTTTATGTAGAGTGCTCAATAGGTTTCCTGTAACAATGGCTTCACATAAAAAAAAAATGCAAAAATCTGTGAAAAAAATTCGGGTAGTAGCTTAGTATACCAACGGATGATACATGGAAACGGGGACGCAGACAGGCATTTCTAGACAGCGGGGTGCGGGTATACAGAAGGTGTGTTTATAAAATTGCAGTCATGTATACCCGGGGAACGCCGCGTATCTCGGTTTTAGTCAGGTATATTGAATATTTAGTCAGGAATTCACATGTAGACTTGGGACATATCAGCGCAGATAAGAGAGGGATCAGTGCATTTCATTACTGTAAATTAAACAATGAAATTCAAATGAATAACTTATTGTTTTATATTCCGTGTCCCTTCTGGGCGTGGGAGATTATTGCTCGCCACAATTTACTCTAACTTTTGGTTTTCCGTCCTACTCTCAGTTCTACCAACCATGAGCTGGTTAGGAGATTTATTCAGGAATTTCCTCTGTCCCTGTTGCCTTCAGTGCGTCCTCTGTGATAAAGTTTACAATCCTTCTTTCTTCGTTATTTGCCTTAAAGATTTTATCTGTCCCTTTCTGATGTTATGGATAAATGGCCATTTTGTTTCTATTTTCCTTAAAACTTTGTCGTCACTAACATCTCTAGTCCAACCTTCTGTAGAACCAGATTTCCGTTACCTCAAGTCAATTCTGTAAGTTTGATTGCGTTCACTGCAAAAATCAGAATATACCTTAAGGATAGACATTAGTATCCACTGCAAATATTGTTAAGTTGCTAATGACCTCTTTACAGCGTGAAAGGTAAACTTGTTCTTACAAGATGGATTCTTACCGAATTTATTTAGCCTGTCCAGCGAGGGAATTTCAGACGACTCGAAGTTGTAGCATGATTCCTTATAAATATATAAGCTATGTAGATGACATCGAACCGATGACAGACACAGAAAAGTGAAGATAGTTCTAGATATTGAAGTAAAAATAGAGAGTAGAAAGGACGAACCGTATGTATGTTCATTAGCAAGCAGACCTAGATGCAAGATAAAAATTGAAGATGTTCAGTTATAGCAAGTACAGAAGTTTAACTATCTGTGAGTTCTTTTGACAGACGAGGGATAATGTGGTACAGAATTACACTGAGCCATTCGATTAGCGAAAGATCCCTTCAAAAAAAAAATGAATCAAAATATTGAAAGAGACAGAAAAATTCCGTTGCAAACAAATTTAGAAAATTTCAGATATGTCATATAAAAGGTGTGATGGGTAAATTGTCGTGTAAATGAGGCAAAAATAAAACTAATACTGACATCTCATTTTAGCAGATATATTAGGTTGGTGCAAAAATAATGACGTCATAATATCGTTTTTTGGCATATTTTTTAACGTCAAAAAACGACATTATTACGTCATTATTTTTGCACCAACCTAATATTTACCAAAATTGCAAAAAAAAAAAAAAGAAAATCTTGAAATACTAAAGAGTACATTTATTCATTAAAATCACCATTAAACACAACCTTATCTTTCCGAATTCTTTTCACTGTCCTCTGAAATGTTTCTAAATTTCTGGTGGAGTGAATTGCATCATGGGGATTTTTTTTCTCACAGACGGTGTCTATCTAACCCTATTATTCAGTGCAGCCGACAAAATCAAAAAGAAACAACGCTTATGCACGAAATTAAAATATATATATATATATATATATATATATATATATATAATGGCGACAATTTCCACATTTCTATATAACAGGGAAAGCAGGATAATTTGCTCACGGATGAATAGATGACTTGAGGCAACAGAGATGATGTTCTACAAAGGTTTGATGACAATACAATACAGGAAAACCGTGAGTAGAATTTTACTTTTTTTATCTTTCGAAGATTATCAAGTTTGCAGCTTGCGCAGGTTTCAATGATTTTTTTCTTTTTCGTCTTTTGTCAATATGGCACTTATAGGAAGTTTTCAAATTGTCAAGCCTTCTTGACAAGCATAGCGACCACCTGATACAATCTTAATCTATTCAATCAGAAGCAATATCATTGAACCTTTTCTTTCGTCTATAATATTTCTTCTTTGAGAGAATAAAGTGAAAACAATTCACTCTAGATAAATATATGGAAGTTGAATAAAGCTGATATTTTAAAATGATTTCTCGAATTTATTTATTAGCTAACTCAATCTGTTCATATTTATCAATCTTTCAGTCTGTTTATATTGATCTATCTAAGTCTTTTCAGTACGCTCATATCTATCAACATATCTCAGTCTTTTCATATATATCAATCTATCACATTCATTGTATGTCTGTCTATCTATCTATCTATCTATCTATCTATCTATCTATCTATCTATCTATCTATCTATCTATCTTTAGATAATCTGTGTAGGGAGATGAAGCTTCGAGTTGCCCGACGTCAACCTACAAACCTTAACGATTTGGAGAACACATGCAAAGAGTAGTGGGCCAAAATCCACCCCCGGGATCTGTGAAAACTTGGTAACCAACTATAAGGAAACGTCTGGCTCCTGTGCTTGCCAACAAGGTTTTCTTCACCAAATACTGAGTTATGTTTAGCTATGGGATGAAATATTTATTGTTTCAATAAAAAAGAAATAAATCAAATATTGAGTTATGTTTTGCTATGGGGTGACATACATATTTTTTCAATAAAAAGAAATAAATCTTCAAAAATTAATATAATTTGATTGTTTTATATTCTACACTTTCAAGACGATCTATCTATCTATCTCGGTCTGCATATATCTATCAATATGTTTCTGTTCATATCTATCAATATATCTCAGTTACATTCATATTCAACGATATATATGAATGTCTTAATATATATCAATATACTAAAAAATAGATAGATATAAAATAAAATAAATCCTCATTCTCCATAAAGATGACATTCATCTACCTATTTATTTATATAAACGAGCAAATACAAAACAGGCTGAAAAACGATAAAATGGTTGAGACAAATCTAAAATGTGTTTATTCAGTAATTCTTCCTAGAGACCCAATCCTTATGCACCATCAAATATTAGGAGAGCTAACGTCAATAATTCAATTATTTTGAATATGTTCACCTCTCATTTGTTTATATTTTGTTTGCTTCCATATGTTACAAGACATATACACAATTAAATATAGGTTTAAACATATTAATATTTTAAAACATATCTTATTAATTATCACGATTGTTTTAAGGCGATGTACACAGGAACAGTATGATCAATAGATCTTCAAATATATTTGCCCCAGAGCATTTTGTCTGGCACGGGATATTGGTTTTTAAAGAGGTGAGGACTTCAAATAGCTTGGATCTCACATAATAGATTCCCAAAAAGACTTCAACATCCGCAAGGCTCTTGCATGGGATGCGTGTAACAAGCGTCACAAAATCTTGGGGATCGAACATTCCATCCTCCTTAAAATTCCCAAATCTTCGAACATTCACTGAACCAATCCTACTGTATGGATCAAAAACTTGTACATTATATGCACGTCGTGAAAGACGACTGGATGGAACATATACAAATCTCTTTAGAAAAATCCAGAACATCAGTTGGGTATCCCATGGGACGCTTAATAAAATTACGGAGTACTGAGATCAATCACTTTTAAGCTCAAGCTAAGTCATTTTGAAAGAGTATGGTCAATATATCTTCTGAATATTTATATATGACAAACCAATATTTGGCCATAGATCATATTTCTGGGACGGAATATAGGTTTTAAGATAATTCTTAACAATCCTCATATTGTGGATGACAATGAGGAAGCTTTTCATCGCAAATTTTAACATAATTAAATTTTACTTACACAATTTATGGAGAACTGAGATCAATTTTTGTTAAGCTCAAACAAAAAAAAGATTACAGTTTGCCAGCCACTGCCAGCGAGCGGACAGGGAAACCGTCGCATCCTTACTCCTATGGCATCATTATGGAAATGTCTTCACTCAAAAATTGACTTTCCCAGACACCATAGCTTGGAGCAAATGGTTGGTATTTAAAAAGTGAAAAAAAATAAAAATAAAAATGAAGACGTTGAATACGACCCGAATGATAGACGATTGGGCGAGTATTGGATGACGAAATAATTTCATGACAGCTAAACATTAAATGACAACTATGTATTCGATAAAATTAGATGTGACTTTATGTATTTTGTTTAATCGTTTAACCCCTAAGCAAGACAATAAAGCCACTGGTACGTAGATGGTTACAGGGAATGGAAGAGAATGAAAACAGAAAATGTAAAAACAAGCATTTGCTTAGAATCAGAAAGCAAAAGTAGAAATTTCTGTGACAAGCTATGAATAAAGAATACTTGGAAATATTGACAATCATTTAATCGTCTCACCGCAAGCAAAGCAGTAATGAAACATAAGGGAAGAGGGTTAGATGGAATGAAATTGAATGTGAAGTATTTAGTGAAAAGGAGTGAAGAAAAGACAATAAAGGAACAGGGTTTAGGAAGACACAAGATGGAGATTGTGTGATGTATTTAAATTTGTCAAGATTGTACGTGACAGGGAAACAAAAATTAGAAATGCGAGCAAAGAAACTGAGTAGATGAGGTTGTTGTATCTATCTAGTTCAAAAGATGAGACCTAGACGCCAATCTAGTAACAGACTTCTATTCATGTAGCCGAGGCTTCAGTGAAACAGAACAGTTACAATAAAAACATCTATAGAAAGACAGAGGGAGGCAATGTCACATCAATGAGAAAGTGACCGGAGTATTAAGAAAACGGTCTTATTTTCACCTGTGAACTGTAAGCTGGGTTCAGTGTCATAGTGAAACATAGTTTTAATCGTTTTTCAGAAACCTTAGACTCGGTGAAATTGGCAAAATAATAATTCTCCTCAATTCAATTCTAGACTTTAAAGTAATGGTCAGATCTTTGATTACCTAAACTACGTAGGTGAAGTTTGAATTCCCTTGGAGTGGAATTCTGGTGTGATGTTTATCTAAGTCTTGTTAGCTATCTATGTATCTATTTATGTATCTATCTACACACACACACACACACACACACACACACACACACACACACACACACACACACACATATATATATATATATATATATATATATATATATATATATATATATATATATAATAAAGTAGATGTGGTGGTTGCATCTAGCTAATTCAAACGGTGAGACCTCGAGTTGGATTCAAGATGTCGAGGCACCAGGAAAAATAGCTGTCATGATAACATTTGGAGTAAAGGCAGAAGGACAAAGGGGTTTACAAGGAATGAAAGTGAATGAATATAAAAAAAAAGGAACATTTGCTTAGAATCAAAATGCTACCTGTGAAATTTCTGTGACCTGCTGTGAATAAATAGGATTTAAAAAATTTTACATTCACGGGAATTAGTGAAAGCAAAATTGGCATTTGGAAAAAGGGAACCGCCCTAACGTACTTGTGTAAATTTATGAAATGCAGATACTAAGATTGATAATATTGACAGGATGTCGTGGAGAGCCATGATCGCTCTCGTCTTGCATACACTTTACTACGAATCCTTCTGCAGCAGATTGAATTTTCTGTCTCATATACGACTCCTGATTTCGCTCTCAATGCTTTTCACTTGACTGATTACTTGGAATTGACCTTTCAATGACCTATTTATATTTTTAATAATAATTTTTAAAAAAATCTTATTCAGTTACGTTTGAGTTCTTTTTGTTTTATAAAATTATTTAACTTTTGTTCGGTTTACCGATTTGTCATTTTTCATCTCTATCGTCTGACATCTTTAAATGCGGTTTCATTCGGGAATTTATTTTCAAATTAAAACACATATTCTCATCATCATTCAAATACGAAAGATATAGGTATTTAGAGTTAAAATTCCAATTATTGACGCCAGATGGCGCAGACTGTTCTTTGTACAATCATGTATTTTTTTTTCTGACTACATGGGCGTCATTTTCATAGATTACAATAACAAACAATAACTCAATATTTTTCCAATGATAACAAAGAATCATCAGATTAAAAAGTGAGACAAAAAAGTTTTCTAGTTCAATAAAAACTTTCAAAGATTGTGAGATGTGATTCATTTTTTTTAAACAAAAAATATCGATAATGTCACTCCAAACAAATATGCCATATTGTAACTTTTAATTTTAATTGTGCAAATAAATATTTTTATTCATATGTGATGCAATTGTATAAACTTTCAAGTTCAAGGGAAATTAGTTCGAAAAATTATAGCTAAAAATGAAATGAGTAGCCGAAGAAATTGGTAGATACGTAGTCCCTGAGGAAACAAAAAGAAAGGTTTTCACACTACTGCTGCCGGTTAATGGAATGTTTTGCAACTTATTTGAAAGAAAATAATCAATCTCCAGTGTTGCTTTGTCTCGCTGTCAGCAAAAGATTGATTTCTTGAAAGAAAGATGATTCATACATAAAGGAAATGAATTAGAAAATATATGTTTTGCTTTTTAAAATATTCAAAGTTGTTCGTCTAGAAACCATGCCTCTCAACGAAGTTGGTGTCATGGCCCTCCACCATTCCCTGTCATTCGTAGCATTTAATAATTATATTATATTTTTGAAATTTTTCGTAAACCTTGTTCCGCCAATCCTTCACGAGGGAGATGACTATAGTTCTCCACAACGTCCTTCGTACGTTTTAATACTGTTGAAACTTGAATAAAGCATGGAATAATAATAATACAACACAAAATGTACTTAAACAAAATGTATTGAAACAAGAACGTGTACACAATATTTACAGATAGTTTGGGTATATTCTTGGGAAGACCGTTCCTGTAGAATGGGTTGACTTAGTCACAGTCGAGCAGAGTCTCTGGATTGGATCTCTTCTTCCTCCCCCGTCTTCCCGGTACCAACCATATTTATATGGTCGGTACTCCACTATGTAAATTAGGTGGATCGTACCACAACAAATGCTTTTTGTTATTTCTTGTTAGCCATCCCCAATTTCATGTCCTTCGTAAATTTTGACTTTTTGCTATCTCACCTAAATCTTGTTTCTTTTCTCAATCTTCCTAAGTAGTTTCAACTGTCTCCTTCTGATGTTAAGCATGTTTCATTTTTGTTTCCGTTTTCTCTATGCGAAGGCATTTTGACCGGCCCGCGAGCCTGATTACCAATGACTCTATTTTTAACATGAGAGACGAGGCTTTCGAATTAGACTATCTGCCAGTTATCTTTCATGAGACTTATTTTACCAAGTTGCGTTGCCTACGTTTAATGTCAAATAATGGATACATATTTGTTATGACCCTTGGCTACATTAAAAGATAACAGAAGCGAAAGGAACGATAAAGTGAAAGAGGCCAGGGAGGGACTGACATGCGAGGTAGCAGCAATCTAAAGACAGTTAAACATACGCGCATTATTATACATACAAGCCTCATGAATGTGTGGATGATACCGCATGTGTACGTACGTAAGTGTATATGTTTGCAACTATTTGTACTCGTATGTATGGGTATATGTGCTTCGTTTTTGTTTGATGTGTGTGTGTATGTGGTTCGTTTATGGAACAATTTTCAGTAACAGTTTCAAACCTACACGTCATAATTTCATCCATTTCACTTCGGTTGATTTTTTCCTCTTTGAAGTATTTTGACGTTCCTTGAGGAAAAGTAATTTTTGTTAGGTGTTTTTTTTTTTTAATTTTAGATTTTCTTTTTTTTTTCTGATTTCTCAATGTTTATTTTCATTATCGTTTTAAATATTTAGGTTGACAGGGGTCTGCATATGTAATTTTTTTTAT